TGTGATTGTTCTAACAGACCATTCCAGAAGCCTGCGTGCCAGTTTTGGTGAGTGAAATTCTGGTATTTTATTTTTACGTCACTTAGCATTAATTAGCCAACTTGCTAATGAAACCAGCTAATGTTACTTAAGATATTGCGCACTCAATGCCACTTTTGTCTCAAAAAACAAACAATAACATGGCAGTTGACCAATTCCACCAAATTTGGAAATATAAAACTTAAAAAAAAATAAGAAGAAGCAAAATTGTTGAAGATAACAAAGCAGATGAACTGCAACAAATGTATTGCGCTTTAACAACAAAAACAGGACAGGAGAAGGAAAAACTAAACTTAACCTCAGCCTGAAACATATATGTCTGTCTCCCAGGTGCAATGTCTTTAGCAGCGGCTAAATTTGACGTGTTCTTGCACAGGGGCCTATATGGCAGTATTTCTTAAACTATGGGTCTGGCCCTTAATTGGATCACAGGTCTGTTTCTGGTAGGTCCTCACACGTCAAGCACACCCGTTTGTTTTAATCAGTTCAGGTCTCAAAGCAAGACTCAATTTACAAAATTTATGCCTGAGCTGAAAAGGTTTACTAAACCTGGCTATAAAAGTGCACTGTGTGAGTCCCCTGTCAGCCTATATGGACTCCCTCCGCTATGGTGGCCAAGCCAAGGCCAGCGACTGGTAGATCCACTGGGAATGTAATAACAGATTAATGTGGCGTGCCAGGCCCCATGACCAGACGTGTTTGACGCTAATGCTCCACTGTATATTATCCAGCTTGCAGAAATGTTGGATGTGAGCGATGGGATCCAAGGACAGGGATGTTTAGGTACTAATTACCAAACAGCAAGGCACAAGTCTCGCTCCATATTTCCTTACTCCTGTGGAAACACTAGGCAGGCTCCATTTATTTTCTTTGACTGTTGTTTCTGGCAAGGCCGCGTCTCAGTAAACACCACTCGCCCACCATTGTAAATCCGACAGGCGCAGATCTTTCAAGTTAGACTCCTTTGAGGAAAAATGGAGACAGATCGGATGGCGGCGCTCGGGTTTTCCGTCTTAATGAGAGAGTGGAGAAGAGGGATGGCGTTTGATCCCTGGCATGGAAGCCTCTATTTAAGCCTGTCAACGGTCATCACTCTCTCTCCCCCCTTCTTTCTTTCTCTGTTATGGATAGAGAAACAGACCTGCACCACTGGATTTGATCAACTCAGTACTGCACACTTTAACCCTTTTTCAGAACCGGGATCCAGTCTCCCCTCCAGCACCTTCACTATCACCCAGAGAGACTTGCTCAGCCTTCCCCTTCCTGACAACCTGCAAGCGTGAATGTTGATTGATTACCTTAGCTGGAAAAGAAAAGAAAAGGCAGAAGCAGATCTGTGAAAATATTATTTTATTTGTAGAGCTTTGCAATGAGAAAGCCTTTCAGTCATCATGCTCCAGTTTCATATCATGTGTTTGTCCAAACCACACAAGAGCCTTATGGTTCTTCAAGGAAGTCGCGCTATAGTTGCAAGCCCGACAGCAAGCCAAAGACGATAAGCCCCGAGACAAATTTCTCTGTCCTCTGCTAGACAATGAAACTTTTGAACTTTAACTTTTAGGCTGCGGATGTTGATGAAGTCCTCAGAGAGGAGGAAATGTCTTTCTGATGAAGGGCTGGAGGGCAGGGCTCCTGACCATCGCGGACCTGGCCTGGAAGACGCTTTTCATCGCAGCACTAATGGCTCTGGCTAATCAGGCCTGATTGGGGCTGCTAAATAAATACTCTCTCCATTTATAATATCATGCGTAACTTAAGACAAAATCAATACTCGAGACTGAACACTAATAGCTTGAGGCAAAACAAACGTCCCAGCTCTGGCTGCAATACATTTTTCAGAATGAATCCATCAGTGACATTGGCATGGATTTCTCATACTTCCAAATACAGCCACGTATCTGTGGAGTTTTCATATTTCCGAAGGCTCCGAATTGGTTTGAAAGACATTCACGCATGCAAGCAGTTCAGAAACAAGCCTCGTTCTAAACTTTTAATGCCCTTATTAGGTACATTTGTTCTGTTTGTCGAGCATATATTTGAATAATATATATATTTTTTGCCTTTACATCAAATTTTCAGAAGCATTAGAAAAGAAAAAGATAAAGAAACTACAGCAACACCCACAGTAATGAACTGAAAATGAAACTGCAGAGTGGAACAGTCATATTCAGCAAACAATTAGCATCAATCATCAATCATAGATGAATCAAGGTGTCTCCCCAGGAGCCAGAGCCCGATAATAAACACTGGAGTCAGACTAGACTTATGTGGGCTCGGGAATAAATAAAGTGAACGACCTCGACATCAGCAGCTAGTAAAATGTTTGGCCGTGCGGTAGAGTAGGTATGAAAGGGAGCTTTGTGTTATGAGGAATAAATACAGACAGACACAATCACATTTGAGTGAAAAGAGTTATGTCAGAAGTCTCACAGCAGCAACGTTGGAACCTGGCTTTGAAATGCGAATCACGTTAAATGTGTTTGATTTATCTTCTGCTCCACTTCTGCTTTGCCGTGTCTCTGCCGAGGTGATTGAAATACCATACACACTGTGCACCGAGTAGCTCAAGTCCATCCACATCTGGAGCTGAAACAAAGACATCGGGCTTGTTTATTATGACAGACAAGGATCTCACAAAGGACAGTCGCGTGTTACGTTCATGGGGGATGTTTTCTTTATGATGTGTGTTGCCGGTTTATTTTTCCTTGGGTTCAGGTCGGGCTACTTGGCCAGTCTCCTCGCCACGTCTTTGTAGGCGGTCTCGATCTCAGTGTCGGCAGCACAGGTGTTGGTGAACTCGTCACGCGTGGAGGCGTTGTTCAGGTAGCGCCACACCCCCGACATTTCCGCTGGGATGTCGTAGTTGCGGTATTTCTTAGCAACAACCTAGGAGAGAATGCAAGGCGATAATTAAACTACCCCGTTCATTCAGACTCGAGCTGATATCTTCAGCTCTTTGGATGAGGTGTTCCAGTTTGCCATTTTGAAACAAAACTAATAACATTTATGCTTTTTTTTTTTTTTAGCTCGTGAATGTAAGAATTGACGCCTTCCAGCACTACCCCGTGTATCATCTGTGCTCTGCATCCGTAAGGTAAGTCAGAACCACTTCCACTGCAAAACCAATGAAGCATTAAGTAAGTCAGCTCTGCAGGAACAGGACATGCTGGTTAGATTCATTAGATACTTTCCTCCAGTGGTGAATGCTTATCTGCCTGATATATTAACCCACCGTAGAAAGGACCTGCTCTTGTTAAAAACTGTAGTTTTAGTTTAAAACAAAAAACTTTTTTGTTGTGTCCTCCTGGACTAAATATGGAATTTATCAGTATAACCTTTAGCTACTAATAATTTGACATATGGATACTAAATGCCCCAAATAACAAATTCAAGATAGTTTTTTTTTTTTCCTTAATTAGGAAAAGAAAAAACTATTTTTTTAAGTCTAAAAATCTGATTTTTAAAAATTGTGGCTGTGGAAAACAAAGTTAAGAGCAAACCTAACTTAAACACATCTTGGGGCCAGAGTTGCTTGACATTTTCAATCTTTTCCTTTTTCCTTTCTTTTCAGATCCTGCTGGTTTCCAGAATAGATTTACTTATTTTAGTTTAGTTTTTATTAGTTCCAGTGTTAGTTTTAGTCTTTTTTTTAATCCTTCATGTATTCCTGTGGCACAAAATTGAATACAAATGCAACATTTGTGGACACCCCGAGTCTCTTTTGGACTGCAGGCTCCTCAGGCAGGCTGTTGACAGATTTGACCATATTGTTGACGATTTTTGACTGTATAGTTTTATTTGACTTCAATTCTTTCTTTCTTTTTAAATACACATTGTTTCAGTTAATTTTCATTTATTTATAGTCTCTAGTTTCTGTTATAACTTAAACTATAATGTATGTTGACATTTCGTTTTAGTTAACTGTAATACTGCTTGGGACCTCCCCGGGTGTTACCAGACACCAATTTAAGGCAAACACATCATCATCATCATCATCAAGCACATATTAGGTTTATTACCACAGCCTTTATTACTCAATTCAGCAAAACACTAAATTCATTATCAAAATGGAGTTCAAAATCCGTGTACTAAATCTGGTTTTGATATATCAAAGTGTTTATTTATCACCAGCTTTAATAGAGGAACAGCTTGATATGACAACTTCTGTGAACCTTACTGTAGACTGGAAAACTTGTTTGGCCCGTGAAAATGTAGGAAACTTTTTAACAAAGTCCAATATTGCAGAAACTGACCTCATAAGGTGGTTTGAACTTGGACAAACTGGTGTGTGCTTTAAAGGTTACTTGGAAAAACACACGTCTAACGTTAACAGATAATAGGATCTGGATTGCTCAAGGTACCGATATGAAAATCTCATCTGAGAATAATAAGGGACCGGTAAAGAATGATTGTTGAAGGGCAACGCAGCTGTAGAATCACCGCCGCTAATTACTGCCCCTCAATAATTTTCCTCTCATGCCATATTTCTTTACCTTCACTATGTAGAGTTTGGGCAGGAGGTTGCAGTCTGCCAGAGTGAACTCGTTCCCATCCAGGAAGCATCGGTTGGAGCCCTTCTCCTCTTCCATGCTGTTTGCATCGATCTCATCTGGCAATGGGTTGTTAAGGTAGTCATCCAGCTTCTTCAGGGCTTTGGTTAAACCTTTCTCTAGAGCTAAAACGCACAGATACAACACCTTTAAAAGGTGACGGAGCACGTGTGGCGCTAACCTCACTAGGTGGCAGCAAAGCAAACGGCATGAGCTCGTGCATAAAAAGTGGACTCTGCTACCACCTAGTGGAGGGTTTTAGGAATCACTCCCGCATGATTTCATCTTGTTCCGTTGCGCATGTACATGTGTGAATGTAAATGGCATGAAATAAGCAGCCCACCAGCGTTGGCTTCTGGTTTGGTGTTCTTGATGTAGGCTGAGAACTTGGCAAAGATGTCGTTTCCAGCTGTATTGGACTCTCTGTGCTTGGCAGCCAGTCTGGGATACCTGAGTGGATTGGGGGACAGGGGCAGGAGAGGCAGACCCAGTCAGACCAAACCATCTGGATAGCATTAACACCTGGGCTGAAACTCAGCTCACACTCCAAACATGTTACACACTCTCACCAAGCTGGCTACTCGCCCCTTAAGCTTCTCACACCGAGGTCGGTTTATAATGTAAAAAACTTTACAGGCAATAAAATAAAGATTTAGTTAATCTGACATTTTTCTCTGCAAACGCTCACACGCTGACTCTGGTCATTTTTACTGGAATAACAACAACAAGAACCCTCTTAGGCTCTTTTACTAAAATTACCCAAATCAGATTTTGTCAATAAAGTTTTGGATGTAGAGTGTTAAAGATTTTGCATTTAGGAATTAAAAGTGCAAAAACACATACCAGGGACACTTACATTATACTGTATATCAACTCAAAATAGATTTGCAGCAGCTATAAACAGTAATCTCTGTTAACGTCAGCCTTCATCAGATCCAGCACTCTTTTACTGGACTAAAGAGTTTCCTGTTCTTTCAGCAGTGCTGCTGAAGTGAAATAAATCCAGCCAAACCAGGATGTGTGTAGTTGGTGGTATAATCTGATACTCTGTTATGGAAAACCCTCTAGTTGAATTACTTTGGAGGACAGAGTGTCTCCTCAAGAAACTCTTCAATCTTGTTGACGTCTGTCTTGACCTCTCCTTCGAAGGTCAGGAAAGGAGGGTGCGTCCCTGGAGCCAGGTTGTGCAGATCTGCCGGCTTCCTGCAGAAGACACGCGCGGAGAAAGCAGAATGTCGTGAGCGGGCGACGTTAGCACGTTTTGTTTTCATGTTTGCAAACTTGGCTTTTTGTAACCTCACCTCTTGAGGTCGACGGTCGTGACGTTGAACATGACTCCTTTGAGCCAGAGGATCATGAAGAGGCGCTGAGAGAAGGGACAGTTGCCGATGCTTTCTCCATCGCTGCCCGCCTGGAAGCAGACAAAGGATGAAAAGACTTACATCTTGTTTCTCTAATTCAGCTGTGGAAAGCAAGTACGTGACCCTTTGGTAACAATGTAACAACCTTGCTACTAACAGGGATAAGGCACCTGTTATCTTAAGCGATAAGTGTTAACTCACTCTTTACCTGATATAGTTGTTCCAATAAGTAACATATAACATTACATAAGCACACATAAATAGGTCATTGTGACAGATTCATGATAAGGACAAACCTACTAAACTAAACCTACCGTCTGTGCACGTGTTATTATCTGATGTGAACTGCATACTTGTAGCAATCAGAATTATTGTCTGAAGGCCAAAAAAAATGCCCAACATATTTACTTTCCCAAGTGGACCAGTAGGAAACCCTAATATCCTGTTTCTTTTTTATTATATTAGTACATAACAGCTATCAGATATAACCACTTAGAACACTTAGAAGAAAAGTAACCAGTGATAATTTCAATAATTATGTAAGACATGACTGGCTAATTATTACCAGTGCACTTAAGTTTAAGTAACAATACTTAAACTTTTACAGTAGGTTCAATAACGTCAGTATTTACACAGTCAGTGCAGTATACACTTACTGGATCTCCTTTCCTCTCTTCCTGTATATGCGTTTATTACAGGCCATTAACACTGTGTCTTCTCTGTGCTGTCGTCTATGTTTTTGTCTCCTTGTAGCTTTCTGCACACGTCTCTGTTTTCTGAAGCTGCATTTTTGCTCTTAGTATTTCTCTCTGGATTGTCTGTTGTTGTTGTTCCCAACCGTAACCCACCCACTCGTGCCGCGTGGCTTCAGGCACCTCCTTGAGTCTGGTTAAGTCAGAGGTTTCTTCCTCCCCACTGTCAGTGGGTGTTTGCTCACAGGGGATTGCTGTTTCACACGAACTGGATGAATTTAAAGTAGCTGTTATTTTGCAGATGCTGACCATACGAGTGCCTGTGAGCAGTGTATCAACAGTGCCCAAGGTTGTTGATTTTAGGCAGTACGCTTGTGCTTTGATCAAAAAGCTCTGAGAGAAGGTCCTTAAAAGTTAAAAACCTGGCCTCATTTACTCTTGGCCATTCTCACATTCAAGGTCATGTTCTCAGCCACGTGTGCTATTTATAGTTTGCTCCCTGGAAGTCCCCTTCTGACCACTTAAACTGTGTGCTCTGCAGTTTCACCACAGACCTCAAATCAACTTCTGTCTCAAACTGGCACAAAACATGTTTGGAGGATGAACTGTGGTGCTTGTCAGCAAGTTGTCTCGTGCCTGCTCAAAGTGCACAGAAAGCACAGGAAATTTTCTGTCTGCTCCAACACAATTTTCTTCACTACCTGGACGACACACTAGACTGAGATACCTACCGCTTTGCTCACTTCCTGTAAATAAAGATCAAGCTGAATAATCAATGTTTCGACACACTAGAGGAGATTCGATGTGTTGAGTGCTGAGGCACAAGTGCAAGTGGAGCCTGACGAAAACTTCTGCATTGTAATCTAGAAATAGCAGCCATGCAGATTGCAGCAGCACAGATGTGTATGAGAAGATGGTACTGAATGAACAAGTTAAAATGGGCATAATGTGCCAGGGTTCCATCATCTACCCGTACAGAGAAATGGGAGGAGGTTTATGTGGTCCTAATGCCTGATTCACAAGATCGGCCTTCCTGTGCCTCCCGTGCACATCCTGAAAATGAGAATCAGGTGGAAGCGTCTCTGTTTTGACCCCCTGGGGGGGATCCAGCGTGCATAGTAGAGACACGAATGCAAGAGGACTTCCACCGAAAGATCTAAAAAGTAGCAGGGCACATTGTCCTGATATGGGAGAGAATGTGCTGTCGAACATGAGCTAGGTCACATTTAAATCAGGTAACGGGTTTGATTTGATTCACCTGTTCACTGCTTTTCTCTTTAAATGTTGTATTTTTATTTATTTATTTATTTTCTGATGAAGACAAAGCTACACAGAATCACTTCCTTCCTATCATATGCTTGTGTACATGCACTGATATTATGTGTCGGCATGCACGGATACTCAGAGGAGCACAAACGGTGACATCTGATCCAGTGAACCGTCTGAATTATACATGGTGATTCTGATAAGCTGGTTCATTGGCCCCTGGGGCACGGAGAGCAGCGTTCGACCTGCAGACCTGCAGTCGCACACAACACATAACAAATATGTGAGTGCAATGA